ACAAGAAATTCAGGATCTGGGGTCTCACCGCTCCCAACAAGCAACAAAAGGCAAATTAACACATGAGATGTCCCTGATAACCAGACTTTTTTCGGTATTGAAAATATGTCCCATGCTGCCCAACTCTAGTCTCCCCATCTGCGCTCATAGAAACTGAAGGTGGTGTTAGTAAGAGCTGTACTAGCTTTTTTTTTTTTTTTTTTTTTCTGATTCTCCTCCTTCCTTTTCTTTCTAGACGTCAGGCTGACGTGAAAAGCGGTTTCACTTTTGCTAGGAGAGATACACAGGTTGACCAGCAGAGGGCGCCAGTTGTGGGCTGCAGACCTAGGAAAGGAGAGAGTTCCTGGGAAATACTTGAGCATTGTAAATCCTTTAGGTGTGTGGAGGCTGCTTCCCTTCCCGGGGATGCTGCACAGCTGCTTTCCACAGAGGTCATTCCTAAAAGAGGGCTTTGGAAGCTTTGGGTGCCAGCTCTGATTTAGGGGTTCCTAAATCAGAAGTGAGGTTGAAAGTTGTCTGGGCCAGGCACTCTTGGTCAGGCCTTGGTCAAGAACCTCAGAACCTCAGTCCTCTCACGTTCCTAACCCTTAGCCCAGGGGTTCTCCACCTTTCTAATGCTTTAGTCCGGTTCCTCATGCTGTGGGGACCTCCAGCCACAAAATTATTTTGTTGCTACTTCATAACTATAACTTTGATACTCTTACGAATTGCAATGCAAATATCTGATATACAGATATCTGATCTGTGTCCCCTCCCCCATGGGTTGACAGCCACTGCCTTGGAGGGGATAAAAATACACAAAGGGTACAAGTGAGTCAGCAATGTGGAGCTTGCCACCGGCTCTGAGCGAATACAGAGGGAGCGGGAGCTGTCGCGGTTGCTCACCGCGAAGTGAATTGGAGGGAGAGGAGATGCATCGTGAAGGTGGAGCACAGACCTCAGGAGTGATCTACGGGCGGTCATCCTTAGAAGGCTGACCCAGGACACGCGTTCTCTGTCCTCAGAGCAGAAGGGAAGGAAGGCAAGTGTCCCCCTGGACCAGGTAGTGATCTGCTGGCCTGTTGGGGGCCCTCGGTTCTTTCGCAGTTTCCTCCTGCTTTTCCAGGGCACTTTAGTTAGAGTTCATTCAGCAAGTGGCCCAGAGTCTGCCGGGACTTTGGGAGGCAGACAGGCAGGTGGGCTCTACCCCAGCCCCAGTCTTGGCCGCTCCTTGCTGACCTGTTAGCTGCTGTGGCCACTGGGAGCGGACGCTAACTCCACAAAGGCCCTCTCAACCTGACTAACTTTTTCCTTGGCTCCAAGATCAGGGGGTCAAGGCTGTTTAATAACCTTGAGGAAGACCGTGGGACTGGGTGCCACTGGTGGCTTTTAGATACTTGTCATAGGCCAGGTTTTCTGCTGTCTGCTCACGTCTGTAGTTAAACTAAGAACTCTCGGACATAGCTAGTGATATTAACCTCTTGTTTTAGAGGGGGAAAACGATGCTCCTAAAGCAACGTGCATGGGTCGTCTGTCTGGTGAGCACATTCGCACTGTGTCCTGTTCATATATCAACGTCTGGCGATCTTCTCGTCTAGCTGTGCATTCAGACACCTACAGGGTTTGTGAATTCCTCATGCCGAGCTCTGTCACAGGTGTGAGGTAGAGCCTGATAGTCCAGTGTTCTTTTTGTAATATACAGACTTAGGTAGACGTCCCCTTTCTAATTAAATAATTAATAAAAATTAAATTATAATTTTTATAATTTAAAAAATGCAGTAGTCTCTCTTTAAAATAAGATTTAGTTATATAAATATGTGTAGGGCTGTGTTTGCATATGTGCATGGGTGAATGCAAACACCCTTGGAGCTGGAGCTCCAGGTGGTTGTTGGGGACCGAATTCAGGTCCTTGGCAAGAGCAATACATGATTTTAACCACAGAGCCATTTCTCTGGCACCCCCCTAAGCCGTCAAGACAAGGAACATTTTCATCACCCTAAAAGCCCCCTTGTGCCTTTGACTCCCCCTGTGCTTACGCTTTAATGAGTTAGTAGATGGTACAGATGCAAGGTGTGACTTGAGATGGTGCTGTGCTAGGCACCTGCCGGGGAAGAGAGCAAAGCACTGTGGGAGCCAGAAAAGAGGGAAAGGGGCCTTATGGGAAGGCAAGGTCTCCAGACAACATCCTGGCTCCCTGTGCTGTGGGAGAGCTCAGGAGAGAGAACTTTCTAGACCAATCAAGACCTAAAAAGGAAGTTTTTCTTTCAACACTGATTCTCCTCAAGCCAGCTGGGAGCTGGAGGGTTCTGGATGAAGCTGATGGACAGCATCGTGGCTGGAAATGCTGACTGTATAAATTGCTTTGGGGTGGAGGGAGGCCTGGGGTCGCCAGGTGTGCTTGGCTGACTGGGGAGGTAGCCCGAGGCATGGGGAGGAACAGCATGTTCCGTCTTTGCTTGAGGTCTGTGCAACGGTGAAGACATTTAACAGGTCAAAACTATAACAGTTAAGGATAAAGAAACAGAGAAGCAAAAAATAAAAAAATAAAAAAAATATAACAGTAACATGTGGTGAGTGTCTTTTCTATTTCTATACTTCGGGACAATTCACAACTGGGATTTTCCTCCAGGAAGGCACCGCTTGGGTCCTTTTGCTTCTCCTGCTAGACTGAAGCAGCCCTTCTTCATCTGAGTTCTGTCAGGAGCATTAGCCTAGCCCGAGGAGGTCAGGCTGTGGCCCAGATGAAGGCTCTTGGCTCAGCTCTGCCCCCAGCATTGGTAGACTGCTTTCCTGGACGGCCTTCTCCACCTTGGCTCCCCGGTAATAAGTGCATGCGTGGTCTGGCTCTGATACACCCAGTGACACTGGCTAGTGTGGCAAGAGCAGCTTGCAAGGAAACCACTTGGGGCTTTATATTGGCTCTAATAATTCATTTTGGACGTGAATAAGTTTAAACCGTAGTATTTCCTTTTCAGACTGGTTTCCCCTTCCTCTTTTCCTGCGTGGTGAGACATGAATGAAGGCATGCACAAAGGGAAGTCAGCTTTGCATCCCTCTTGTGGTCACCCAGTCGACTTCCTACGCTAGTTACGTGCCTGCGCTCTGGCACGGATTCTGGGATCCCACTTCCTTATTTGTGATGCTCAGCTTCCGTGGTCCCCGTGATTGACGGCCAGAGGAAATATCTGGAACAGAAGCACAGAGCTGATTAGAGGAGGAAGGGAAGTGGGAGAAAGACAGGGGTTTGGCTGTGAAAAAATGGAGATACAGGGCCGCTGGGTGTGAGCTGTCACTGGGGGCTCCTCTCATCTGAGGGAAAGTGACTTTGGGTAGTGGTTCCAGCTAAGAGGACACGGGGAGGTCGGGGAGATAAACTTTGAGACTCACCTTAGGCAGTCTGAGGTCAGAACATTATGTCAAGTTCAAGTCATTAATACATCTAGTTTCTATATAGTTTCTGTACCTGTGTTCCCGCTTTGTGGGCTGACTTGAGGTCTCTGCAACACTGAAGAAATTTAACAGATGGGAACTAGAACAGTTACACACATGAGTGTCTCAGGTCAGAACTAGAACAGTTACACACGTGAGCGTCTCAGGTCAGAACCAGAACAGTAACATACATGAGTGTCACAGGTCAGAACAATAATGGTAACACGTGAGCGTCTCAGGTCAGAACTAGAACAGTAACATACATGAGGGTCACAGGTCAGAACTATAATGGTAACACACGTGAGTGTCTCAGGTCAGAACAATAATGGTAACACATGTGAGCATCCCTTATATTTTCACACGCACCATTGTATCCCCCTAGAAGTTCCGCACAAACATCAGAGCCCAGAAAAAGTTCCCTTTTAAGCAGATGTCCAGGGCATACCGAGAAGGAAGCGGGACATTCCGAAAGACAGGAGGGATTGTCTCGTGAATGAGGGGTCGAGTATCCATCAGGAGCAGGGGAAGACTACTGAGCTGAAGGCTACACACTTGGCCTGTGCTTGAGTGGCTCAGAGATGCCAGGGTGTGTCGGCGGGTGAGCAGTCCTAGAACAGGGACACACATGCCTGTGTTCTCTGCAGCGTCGGGGAAGCTGCTGAGCCCATTTCCATCGCTAATTGACCCAATTATCTCTGAGCCTGTTGGTTATGTCTGGGAGACACAGCTAGCTTCCGGCTTTCCAGAAGATTGTCTGTTAGCCTGAGAAGCCAGGCATGCCAACACGAGCTCCCGAGACGTTCATTAGGGAAGATGAACAGCCGGAGTTATTTTGGAGGTCACTGCCGTCATTGGTGTCACGTAGGGAAGGTTTTAGAAGACCTGTGATCTATTGCCGTTCTATAAAGATTCAAGGACCGAGGCTGGAGGAGCCACTCCAGGTAGGGCCAACAGCCAGAGCGAACAGGGACTTGGGCTGGACATGGGGCTCAGTAGTAGACGTGTGAGCCAGAGCTACAGCTTGCCGTGTTTCAGCTTGGCAGACCTTAGACTGCTGTTCTGTTATGGTGGCCTTTCAGCGTGGCCCAGGACGACAGCGTGGCAGTGTTCTTGTGGCGACTGACCACTGCAATGATCTTTGGCGTTTTTTTGTAGTACAGTACAAGGGGCTTGTTTCAGTTGTAACCCCGCCCCCCACAACAATGCACATCTTGCTCCAGTTCCCTTGTCCAATTCTTCCTAAGCGCATCAGTTCTGTGACACCCACCCGCTCCAGTCCCACGTGTCTCATTGTCGCCTCTCGGAACTACTGTGGATTTGGTGAGGGAAATTAGGCGGAGCCGATGTTACAAGTGAATTTCCCCAGGTGGGTCAACTCCACCGCAGGCCACAGAGGGGCCTCCTCATTCCAGAGATGCGGCCAGGCCCACAGACTCACACAGCCTAGGAGGAGGAGAGAAGGAGGGGTCAGCTTTTCTCTGTTAGTGAGAATTCCTCCGATACTTTGCGACAGAAGAGGAGGCAAGAGACCGTGGGGTGGGCTAGGCGCTAGGGCTGGGGATGCCAGAGCAGATGAGGAAGCAGTTGGAAAGGTGGCAGAGCCCTTGGGTAGCTGCCGCCGAAGCTGTGGCTGTTCCTAGGAGACAGAGGAGAAGCCAGCCTGCGGGGGAGGGGGAGCGAGTGGGTTGCTGCTTTTAGCAGCTGAAAGGGCTGCAGGGAGCTCTGGGTAAGACATTTTCTACCTCTGTCGCTTCTGCGGTAGAAGCTGCCGCGAGTAAGTCAGAGGAAGGAGGACCGGGAGGGAGGAGGTCTCCGTTGCAGCCATGCTGAATCACTGTTGCTGACCAGAATCCCTCACCGGGCTGCTGGGAGAACCCCGAGAGCAGCGCTCGCTCCTGGGTGCATGCACAGTTTGGCGGCTACTAACCCCGCCGGGCCTCCCACAATGGAGGGCGAAAGGTACGTACGTGTAAGCGTGGTGTGTGTAGTATGCATGTGTACGCAAACGGGAGCCTAAGGTGTCATCACGGGCATTTTTGCATCAGCCAGGCAGGGTTGCCAATCCTGGCCGCTGCGGGATCCCAAAACAGAGTGAGGACAGGAAAGTCCCTTTGGAAACCTACCTCCTCCAGGGCTCAGAGATACAGAGAGACCCGGCGCCTGCCAAGGCAAGTCTGGGTTTGCTTAGCGGCAAAGAAGGAACTTCCTGGCTGGTGTTGGGAATAGTTTCAGCGCGGCTGGAATCAGGATTGCCCTTTTCAGGCTGCCTCGGGGAGGCGTTCCCTCTCCCCAGGGTGTCTTTCTTCGGTGGGGTGTTTTGATGTCACTGCAGGGCAGGTCTTGGAGCGGGACACTTGCCTCGGTAACACCGAGGTGGTCGAATCTTCAGGAACCATGCCAAGTGGACGGCTTTCCTCAAAAAACAGGTCTGTGAATGTATGTTCATGGACGCTGGCTTGTGTGCCCAGAGGGGTGGAGGAAAACCCAGACAAGTGACATTTGCTCATAACCAGTTTTGTCTGTGTCTAAAAGTTTGAGAGATGCTGTGAGGTCTGTCTTAGAGGAGCCCACAAACTTTCCACAAAGTAGGAACCTACAGGAGGCATTCAGGTGCTGGTATTGAGCAGGAATAGGCTGACCAGGGTTCCTCTCCTGGCCAGCAGGAGCTTGTACAGTTTTTACTTTGAGGAGCTGAGCCTCCCACAGTGCAGGGCCGGATCTGGCAGAGTTCAGATGAGAAGTCTGAGCTCCGCCACCTCCTCATCCGTGGGTTGGTGCAGAAAACAGGCTTTGCCATTTTCCTTGAGGAGAGAAGACCACAGGGAGAGCCGGAAGACTTTTCCTCCAAGTTGTGAGTTGCTGGTCCCCTGGGAACCACTCAATCAGTGCCGACACCCTTGGAGAGCACAGCAAGTCCTGACTCGGCCCAGTGAGAGCAGCTGTTGTTCCTGCCGTAGAGACCAGCGCCTCTTCGTCCACGCTCACAGGAAGTCTGGGCCAGTGGCTCTCAGCCTTCCTAACGCGGTGACCCGCTAACAGTTCCTCATAGTGTAGTGACCTCCAACTGAAAATGGTTTCCATTGCTACTTCATAACTGTAATTTCGCTACTGGTATGAATCGTACTGTAAACATCTGATATGCAGGATGTCTGATATTTAACCCCTGTGAAAGGGTCGTTTGATCTCCCAGAGTGTCGTGACCCTCAGGTTGAGAACCACGAGCCTAGGACTTTTGAGACTTTGCTACCTCATAGCCACTTTCCGGGCTCCCTTTACAACAGTGGGACATCCAGAGGCCTCCGGGCAGAGGTGGACAGAGTCCTTGCCCTCTCTCATCGGTCTGTGGCTAGCAGAGGAAGGAGTCATGTGTTGGAGGTGTGAGGTTCTGAACTGTGTCTGCTTGCATGATCCATAGCGGATCTGGGCTGAGGTGGGCGCGAGACTGCTGCCCACTGAGCATTTGGGGACAGCAATCGCGTCCCCAGTTTGTGCTCGTGAGTCCTTGCATCACAGAACTCTTCAGCTGATCAGTGAGGGGAGAGGATCCTATGGCTGAGTACTCATTCGCTTTAGTCTTTCGGAGGCTGCACATAGGCAAGAAATCCCAGCTGAGAATTTCCAACATTCGCCAGGCTGCCCAGGTCATTACTTTTTGTCTCTCTTGTGGGGACAACCTACCTGCCGAACAAATAAGTCTTCCTCGATTTGTCTCCTGTCTCTTTGCAAAGCATACCCATTTCCCACCAAGAGTTCTGTTAGAGTCTTTCCTGGCCACTCCCCCTCTGCTCCCCGCCACAGAGCCCCGTTCCCAGAGCTCTTATGGATAACTCTTCTCCTCCCATCTTGGTCCTCACAGACGTTCTTACAGACAAACCTACAAACCTCTTTTTTGGTGGGTGGGGTGAGAGGTTAAGACAGGGTCTCTCTACGCATCCCTGGCTGTCTTAGAACTCATTCTGTAGATCAGGGTGGCCTTGAACTCACAGAGGAGCCACCTGCTGATGTCCACCCCAAAGTTCTGGGATTAAAGGCGTGTAACACTTTACTTGGCCACACTTCTTGCTTGTATCTTAGACCTGGATGAGAGGCCCTGCATGTCCATTTGTGCTTCTGCTTCATATAAATGACAAGTCCTCAAACTTGGAGCCATGCCCTCACATCTAAGGATGGTGTCTGTACTTCCTCCTTACAGTTCTCACTGACACAGCTCTGCCCGTGGCAGGTGCTGGGTAGTGAGTTTCTAACTGATAACATAACAAGTCTTAGTCATTCTTTGAGGATTTCATACAGTGCTTTTGATTACACTCTCCCTTTCCCCAACTCCTCCTCGATCCATCCCCACCTTCTTAACCCGTCCAGCCTTCATGTTCTTGCTTCTCCCTCTCTCCTATTACATCCCCCCCCCGCACCCCCACCCCACTCACCACCCCTCCTTCACCACCCCTACTCCCCAGCCTTCTGAGTCTAGTTTGTGTTTCCTGATCACTACTGGTTGTGAGGCCGGCCCTGGAGTGTGGTCGGTATACCAGGTATTCCAGCACTAAGGATGTCTGACTCTCCCTGTCCCAGCAGCCATCAGATGCTGGCGTCTGCTCAGCCACGGGTGGGGCTTTGTGCACCCCCCATTGGGAGTTTGTACGTCTTGAGCTTACATGGCTCTCGTGTGTGCTGTCGTAACTGCTGTGAGTTCCCGTGTGCAGTTGCCCTGATACCTTGTAAAACACAGTTTCCTTGAGGTCCTCCACCATCATGGACTCTGCACCCTTTTCCTCCCAACTCTTCCGCAAAGACCCACGGGCCTGGGGGTGGAGGGGTTACCATGTAGACACCCCTTTTTCTCTCAGTCTCTGCATCTTGACCTTAGCTGGTGACTTTTGTGAGGAACTCTGGTAACTAAAAAGGTGGGAAAAAAGACTGAACTTCCTTGGCTATCAGGCTGATTGGCCCAGCTCCACTCGCAATGCCCTGACACGAAAGAAGAGGTGGAGGCAGCTTGGGTTTATAAGTTTCCTGGAAGCCAAGGGTGGAAGCTGAGTGATTGGCCCAGGTCACGAGTCCGACCTCAGGGGCTGGAGGCATTCCGCGCCTCATGCTTGTTCCACATTTAACCTGCTCGAACGTAATTGGGGCTATTTTTAAGCATTAAAACATTTCAGCCAAAAGATTTCTATGAATAATTTTCTTTCCTTGCTATGAGGGTACGAAAATACTTTTTACCTTGAAACGTTATTAATTGAAAGTGTGGGCTTGGGAACAACACAGATTCCAAGTGAAGTGTTTCACAAGCCATGCGACGTTGTGCGCATTGTGTTTTTACTGAGCTGTTTTTTATATGTAAGGGAACAGTAACACCGTTCTTCGTGGGTTGTTGTGAAGATTAAATGAGGCAGCTTGTGTACACTCCTGAGCTCTGTCTTTTGTTTTTTCTGTCATGGAGTAAGCACTTAGAGTATGGCAGCTACTGTTGTCCCTGGACCCTCTGTTGCTTGCTGCGCCCTGCGATGCTAACAAAGCTGTTGGAATTTTCCTGTATCAGTTATCCAGAACAGATTATGTGGGACCATTCCCTCAGGAGCACAGAGGGAAAGTGTAGCAGGTGTCTCCTTACTTAAGCGATCTCTTCACAGTGAGGTGCCTCACAGGCCTCACACCGCTTATGTTTTATGTTTTAAGGTTTCGCCAAGATCTGTTTTTACCTCCCTTTACAGTTGCCATGCGGCACAAAGATGCCCCAGTGCGCATGAGCTGGGCATCCTCGTTCAGGCTGAGACCTCAAGAAGAGCCCGTGGAGTCGCACTTTCTTGGCTACATCCCGAGCTCGTCAGCCCCCTGCTAGGTCTGCTGGTGCTAACTCCTCCTCTCTGGGTGTCACCAAGGCTTGGTGAGTGGAGAAAGGTGATTGGAGGTTCCAGCTCTTCGTGACTTGTCCTCTCCCCTCCTTCCTTCCTCTCCCACTTCTCTCAGACACGAAAATGGTAGTTGCCCTTGCTGTTGGGGTTTTATTTTAGATTTGAAAACCAAGCTTATGGATGAATTAAATTTTCCACTTCCAAGATAAACTCAGTTCATAGCAACAGAAAGTAAAGTGGTTGCCAGGGGGTGGAGGAAGGGGAGTAGGGATTGCCTCGCAGGTGTGGGATTTCGAAGGGGAGGTGAGCTGTAGAGATGGGTACCTGCTGACACCTGTGCAGCAATGCCATGGGCTCCACGATAAAGCATAACTTTTGTTGTGTATGTTACACACACACAGATATAGACAGACACAAATACATACATAGACACACCAACAAACATATACACACATAGATACACACAAATACACACAGACAGACATCATACACACAGATATATACAGACAGCCAGACCAGACACACACATACATAGACATATACATATATAGGTACAGACAGACAGACCCTCAGACACACAGAGAGAAAGAGACAGACACAGACACATTCAGACATACAGACATACAGACACCACACACAGACACAGACATATACAGACACACAAGACAGAGAAACAGACAGACAGACCAGACACACACAGACATAGACATAGACATACACAGACAGACAGAGAGAGAGAGAGACAGACAGACAGACAGACAGACAGACACACACACACACAGAGACATATACACACAGGCATAGACAGACAGACAGACAGGTGCGTGCGTGCACGCACTCACACAGACACACACGCACACATCCCGAAGGCCCACACTGACAGATCTTCAGTGGTTGCAGAGAAAAGCATTCTTTAGTAGAGAAGTCATCACAAGGAGAAGCTAGTTGCTCATTTTTCTTAAAGCTGTATGATTTTTGTCATCAAGAGGGTAGGGTGCTCCTGCCTGAGAAGGCTTCTAGGCACAGCTCTGCTGTGACTACCTGTGAGGTGTCCTTAGGGGATGGTCTTCTTGGCTGGCTCTTATTGACAGGAGCCTGCTGTTGTGCCTT